AGTCACCGAATGATGGCCAATTGATCGCGGATAGATCGCTATCAGAGTCCCGGGGCTGGTCAGTCGTTGAGAGCCTAGAGGGAGACGGCTTATATTCTGGTAACAGATCTCCCGCGGTCACTTGAAGTTAATGGCACGAGCTACCATCTCTCTAAGTCTCACCCGGTTCCTTGACTAACTCGACCACTCGCACGCCGATCCTATGGGACGGTACCATTCGAACAGTATCTAGCTACAAATCCACTGGGGGACTGCTCGAAGAATTTGATCACCTCTCAGGAGGTCTGGGAAGCGCTGACAACAGAATCGGCGACCGATTCCACCTTCCCAACCGCGCCGGTGACTGCAGTACCCAGCAAATTGAACAAAGTCTTAACCACCCCCAACGAGCCATCGGCATCTCCCCCCGCTTGTTTTGCCTCGCTCGCAGGATGCTTCGCGACTTTCAGATCCGCGGCTGCTTTGTTCGACTGTCGATCCTCGTCGCTGACAACCAGACTCAAAAGCTTCCCCAGCCCTTGTTTAGCGGCAGTGCTGGCCTTGTCACCGATGTCGGAAACTTCGTGTATGACTGGGTCAAGGAGGTCGGCCGCATCCAGTCCAAGATTTCTATCGATTCCAGACACTACCTGTTCGCTCTGGATGCGAGTGTGTTGTCCTTGAGGAGCTCGAGATGCGACGATTCCAAGGTTCAGCAGATCGCCATCAGAGTGCTGCTAGCAAAGGATATTAGATGGCTCGAGCATTGAAGGGCGCGTCAGACTCACTGCTTGCATGGGAATGACGGTCGATAGGGCGGATCCACTGAACAGGAGGGTGCCAAAGCCAATAGCAGCAAGATGCATGATGAGAAGACGAGCCTGACGAATGTGCGAGTGCTCTTGGCGCAATGCTCATCGACCCCTCGGTCCCTCTTATGCAGCTTTGGCATCCGGAAGAGGAAGAGGAACTCCCAATACGCTGCGGTGCCCAGTCGGCTCGCTTGCGAGAACGAGCGGTTTCAGACTCGCGGCGATCACGAGCTGAGGTGTACAGACTCCGTGGAGTATCTAATAGGAAGCCCGCTGACCAAGGAGAGACTGAGAGGGAGGAGCACCTGGCCTACTCAGCAGCAGATCTGCCTTTTATCAGCCGAGAACTCCAATTTCAGACGACAAGGGAGACTAACGGAGTGAGGACCAAGTATCGGTAATGTTGAGCTGTCGCCTTCTACCGTCCTCTGCTGATTTGTCATGTTTTGGACCTCGATCGTCCTTGGGTCCTCCGGGTGTTTCTGTTCTAGGTCGCGCCGCGCATTCTGGGGCTTTTCCACTGCGTATGTCGTTCCAGTCGGTGCTTCTCAGCTCGCTTTCCTCGCGTTTGCTGTGGCATTCTGTTGGGCAGCAGACAATGTTATCGCGAAGAAGATGCCGGGTGGTCAGATCGTGGGAAAAGTGGCACAAGACGAGGACGAACCACGTGAACAACATGTCTTCTGGTGTTTCCCATCCAGCTCACACGACACAAGAGAACGCGCGGAGGTCACAAGACCCGAACACATGGTGATCATCTTACGAGATGGTGGTGGGAAGGATTGGATTCTTACCATACACACACACCTTTTGGCTCGCACTCGATGCCGTACTCGTTTCCTACTCCCCCGGGTCTTGACTCTTGACTCATCAGTCCCTCAGACTGAATCTCGACTTTCGTTCAACGCCAATACATTCTTACAGACTGTCTGCACGATTCGATGTTACATTCACGGATGTCTAATTGCACAGGAATGCTCGATCAGTACGTTCCACCCGAGAGCTAGGAGGATGGAGCATGAGCGCGGCCCCAAACACATGGATGGAACACACCTTCGCTTTGTCGAGCGCCAGAGAGTGTCCTTTGCCACTGGATGTGATGTCGAGCCCGGAGAAGTCCCACGTTCCGCTGCAAGCACCGCAGTCAATGACAAGGCCGTAGGCGCTGCTGGTGGTCGAGACGGTGGTCGTTCCTCCGGTGAACTGTACGCCAGAGATGGGCCCGCCTGTGCCAGGGGTGCCGTTGTTGTCCGGGTAGCTCTGGGTGATCAGGACGCCGTATCCGGTGATCCCAGAGATCTTGTTGCTGCGGGCGGTTCAGTCGGACGGAGCCACGGTCGAGACAATGGGACACTCACGCCTCGTAGATGACACCAGAAACCTTGGCACCCGTTGCAGCGGCCTGGACTTTGATGCGGAGACCGTACATGCTGTTCGTGACCGTGTTGCGCGCAGCCTTGAAGTTGGTGACGGATTTCCCAGTCGCAATCGAGCCGATGGAGATGCCGTGGCCGCCGGAGCAGACCGTGTCTTCGATGAGAACGTTGTCACCCGAGTTGAGCGCGAGGCAGTCGTCCTGGTTCTTGACCGTGCAGGAAGAGATTGTCACATCGCTGGCGCTGACGTCAAAGGCGTCGGTGTTGTGGCCGCCCTTCGTGTCTCCGAGAGCTGCACCGAGACGTCAGACGGGATCCACACGTTCGAACGAGTGAGACTTGCAGTTGTCAACAGTCACTTTCTGAATCACAGCAGATCCGCCGGAAGTCCCAACGGAGACAGCTTGGGCAGGGGAATTGAGGACCGTGAACTGCGTGAAGGATCCGTAGCCCTTGAGTCTGCTATGCGTCAGAACACAGTACATGATATCCATAAGTACCACCCACTTGATGAAAGGGTGGGGTTTGAAGGAGCCGCCATTGGTACCCTGGCCGTCCCAGTAAGATGCGCCTTGTCCCTGTGCAAACCTCAGTCAAGTCCAAATAGATTCTTGTGCGACCGACATCAATTTTGTGGTTACCGCCGTTGAAGACGATGCCAGGAGTATTCAAGATGAAGAGCGGACCAGCGGCTAGGAAGAATAAGGCCAAGTCCAGCTTTTCGTCGGCATTCAAGCGTACTAGAGGTCTTAGCGAAAACGAGATCGCCAGTCATGGTCACGGTCGCGCCCTTTGCAGCCTGATACGTCCGTGGTTCAGTCGAGAGTTCCAGTAGCGGGGGAAAGCACAAACGGCAATAGTAAGAGTGTTGCCAGCCGGCACGGTGAAGCCCTGGATGACCACACTAGTGCAGCTGCCCAGACTCGATGCGCTGGAGACGCTGTTGACGGTACAGGTCGCCCGCTTTGCGGTCTCCGTGCGGGACACGGTGACGTTGCTGGGCAGAGCAAGAGCAGTTGCTACCAAAGCCGCCAGTTGCAGGAAAGAAGTGAGAGAAGGCATTGTATCGGTGAGAGCACTGGAAAGCCTTAGCAGTTCGTTGTCTATTTTATACTTGAGTAGGATGTCATTCCTTGAGGAATTGACCTCAAGTCGACATGTGCTGCGTGGATACCGCCTGATTCAGGATATGTGAGTACCGACTCAGCGCCGAAGTATTGACGGGATTGATTCGCCAAATCCATCCCCATCGAGTCCGCGACGAAAGGCAGAAGACACATGCAGTTCGCCAAGTTTGCGCCAAGACAGACGATAATCTCCCGTGCCCGACCGTGCCCAACTGCCTGATCAGTAGGTAGTATCACTGACGTCGTTTCGGCCCGTCCAGCCTCTAAAGCGAGAACGATACAAGAGAGAGACGGGGAACAGAGCCGGTGAAGAGGGTGTTTGTTGAAGCCGCCCAATTGACAACCTAAGTCCCGCCCCCTACTCGGGCTGGATCGATCTATAAACCTAGATTTTTTCCATGAGAAAGCTGCTATGGCACTGCGGTCCCGATGAGTCGGATTGCTTATCATTCGCGAAGCGCCTCCCAAGCATCGGGAAGAGCCGGTCATCAAACACACGCCAAAAAAGCTTCTGAGGGTACGGTCATTCTGCGATGGTCGTGGAAATCGATACTATTTTTAGAGCGTATCGGCGACGGATGAACCCCGGTCAGGTTCCGATATTAGGCAAAGACAGAATGAGCAAGTGGTCACGAACACACAGAAGGTCGCCCGCCGGGCCGCTATAAAGGTCCGCGAGCTGTCACTGGACGCACAGTTTCCGGCCCTACAACCACACTCGGCGGCCCGCACTGGCAGACTTGAATGACTGCACAACACATGTGCTGAGGATGTCGTCCCTGAACATTGAAGGGTCGCTCATATCCCAACAAACTCCGTGCAAAAGGGCATCGAAATGAATCATGTGGTCAAAGGGCTTGATAATGCCTAAATTTTTAGTCTGAAGGGATGCGCACAGGATGTGATTCAATTGCAGCACTGCTGCTGTTTCCCTAGCCCGGGTGGCTCAGTGTCCTGTCTATTATTTCGTGGATACTGACAGGCCATACCGGTACTTTACTAAAGAAAAGTGCTCTAGTGACCGGCGAAGCTGTTCTTCAGAAAAGCTTGTAGTCTACAAGTAGCTGATCTACAGAAGACTACCGGGCCCTCATGCAGCTTCGGCTAGCGAAATCCGGCACCCGGTCCCGTTGCTCATTGCCTTGCCGCCTCCCGCTCCCTCGCATCAATTCTCGGGCCCCCGCCCCACGCATCAAATCCTGCCACCTCCCTTCCGCATCAAATCCCGCTTCCTGTCAATCCCTCTGCATCAATTCGGTTCGCCACTCACTTACATAATCATGCTCGGCATTGCTGCCCAGGGCCTCCTCCCGAATCGGTCACCTGCATCAGTGCATCATTCCCGTAGTTACGCATCATTCGCTTCCTATCCCGCCTTGCTGGCTTCGCTTCATTGATCCTCCACCCTAGGGTCTGTAGCTTCTTGAGAGATGTATTTATTCCTTATGGTAGCCTTTTGTGTGTGACAGATCTGCATATGAGATGACATTTCAAACATTTCTGTTCATTCAGCACAATGTTACATATTTCCGCCATAACAAGCTCTGCCTCAAAAAATAGTACGGTACTTCAAGAAAAATTACAAGTGTGATACCTCAAGCCACACGAAGTGCAAACTCTCACAAGAAACACACCGTCAGCTCAACTATGTCATTTATCACGTGTTCACATGCTTTGTTTTTTTTCTAGTAAGTACCTCCTAATGACAATCATTGCATCGAAACCAAGTGCCTCCGAAGCTATGTGATAATATCTATAACACTACCTCTGCCCATTGTGTTAGCCCGGAATTTGTTCTTTGAAAGTCGAAAACTCACCTTTTTACGCTTCGGATCAGCGGTAGGCTCAGCACCTCCAGCTCGTTTCCGACTTCTGCCGCTGTTGAGCAATTCGAGCTCCTCATTTCGCATGTACTGCTCAGCCTGGCGTTGAGCGACGGTCATCGGCTCTCCCCAAGTCACCGCCTTCTTGCGATGGCGGGTCGCAGGAACTTCAACGGCCGGATTGTTAGCAATGACCGTTGCGCGTTGCTTTGGCTTAGGCTGACTGGAACTACCTTGTGGTCTGTTGCACCCCCCACCTCCGGACCCATGATGATAGTCAGGTTGGAAATCCAGCGGGCACTCTTCATCGGGGTCCGGGATCGGGTTTACAGTACCAACGTCCCGCGAGGTTGCGTGTTTCGGTGCACCCCGGCCACGTCCGCTGCTGCGGCCACGACCGCCACCCCGCCCATGTTGTCTCCCACTGGCACCTTTGCCATCTCCGCCTCCCTGTCCACCAAATCCCGGTGTTTCGACAGAAAGATCTCCCGCATCAAGCACGGGAGCCTTTGGGGCCCTCGCAGCCTTTGGAGCGTTAACCTTTGGGCGTGACTCTGGGTAGTTTGTCGAAGAAAGGTCCGGAGCCACTGGAGCTGGTGTCGTGACCCCGGGAGCTATGGCAGTCGGTGTCATGATCATGGAAGGATCGGCGCTGATGCCAACAGCGCTGATGCCAAGAAGCGCAGATCCTGATGAGTTTTGTCTGGAAGGCAACATAAGCAATGCGCCGTGGTTTGAGGCGGGCGTCGGCCACGTGCTTGGGACAGTTGGTGACCACAACTTGTCAGTGGAAGCTGTGCCAGATGAGACTGACGGCTGCACAGATGGTAGCCCAGATGGCAGAAGAAGCGCTGGTGGAGTAGATGGTCGAGGAAAAGCGCCCACAGACTCTGCTGCCGGCGAGGCAGGACCTGATGATAGTGGTCGCAGAGGGTAGGGTGAGGAGGCACTGAAACCTGACTGCGTATCACATCCATCTGACACCCACCCCCCACTCAAGCTGGCACCAGCACTAACTCCCATACCAACGCCCTGACCCATCCACCCTGTGTTCTGTTCAACCTCGGTATCAGCATTCCCCATTTGATCATTGCCCAACACGCGATCAAAATCCCAGAGAAATGGATCCAGGCCGAAATCAGCATCCAAGCCCACATCTAAGGCGTTTTCAAGCGCTTGAGACCCATCTGTCTCCATAGACATTGACAGAGATGGCGGCGTTGCTTCTGCATGTGCGGGATCCTCACAAGTCTGAGACGCATTCAAAGATGTAGGATCTGCCACCGCTAGGCCATGTTGGCCACTTGCACCGTCAGCGCTGCCGTTTCCGTCGCTGTTGTTGGTTTTTTCTACATCCAGATGAGTGATCAGGTCGCCGTCCAAGGCATGAGTGAGCGGGCTGGAAGCAGTAAGCGCCCATGCGGCACGTGTTTCTGGATCTAATGGTGCCGTGATCAGTAACATCATTTAATGATGCGCATCACTCACCAAATCCTCGACGCAGCCATTCCCCTGTGCCCTTTAACACATCATCCCACATGACCAAGGACTTATTTAGCGGTTGCTGGCCTGTGCCTTGAATCCCTGTGGTGATTGTCTTTGTTGCAATCTTGCCCTGAAAAGACGGCATTGGTCCGCCTACAAGCACGATACCGCGCCAGCCAGTCATCCGCTCAACCCCATCAAGCACCTCGGCAAATATTTTATCGAGCTGGTCGATTCCCCTAATAATTTTGTCAGATTATTTCAAGACCATAGTATGACAATCATTACTCCTGGATCTGCTCCGGCTTCCTCTTCTCAACAGGCAGCTCGCATGGGGTATTCGCCTCGTTACCTCCCTGCTCTTCGTAAGCCTTTTCTACCTTGCTCTTCTGCTCCTCGCTCGCCTGTTCGTACAGGAATTGAACAACTTTACGACGGAGCCCCATATCCCGTGCACGCTTTTTGGATGACCGGTCTCTGATCAATCAGACTTTACTTACATCTCATGCAGATTTATTCAAGCTAGACAGCCTTTACACACGATAATATAGATAAGAATGTTTCAATGGCAGTAGAAATTTATTTGCACAAGAGGTCAGCGAAGTACGCTATTTACTTTGCACCCAAGTCTGCCGGCCTTGTCTTCATTTTAGGAAACAGTCCGAGTCCCTCTTTAACCCTATTCTCCAAACCTGCCTTGTACTCTGCCGCCTCTGACTTGGAGAGGTGCTTCACTGCCCGACACCCAAGATCCACGTACTGGAAAATCGACGCGCCAGTCCATGCAACAATGGATCCGCGCATCCCTTTGGAGATCAGGGCTGAGTTGTAATGTGTGTAGAGAGCTGATGGAAAGAAGATGGGTGTGCCCGCTGCCACCTGGAACGTGTACCCCAGTTCGACAACGTGTAGTTTGCAGTCTAGCGCTGGATCGAAGTCACCAAAGGGAATAACAACGCAGAGGCCTGGTGCGAGGTTTTGCATGTCGATGTGCTTCACTGTAACAACTCCGGTCTCGCTGATGTTGATACAGAATGACGCAAATGGGGAAAAACAGGCGTCCAGCTCGGGGTGCATCTTTTTGATGTCAGCCATCGCATCGGCGTACCGTTTGTAGAGCTGGGGGAACTCAGCCTTAAAGATCCCTGATTTAAGTCAGATCCATTGCGAATGAATGTCAAGAGTGTTCGTACCTTCGACATATCTCATGAGTGGCTTGAGAACATTGGTCAAGCGATCATAGAGGTCCCGATTCTCCTCAATATCTTTTGAAAACCGGGGCAGCTGGGGGACAAATGGGTCAATGTCAAAGGGGCAATGTCACGGCAGGCAACTGGGCTCACCGCGGTTGATCCCCGGTGCAGCGAGAAGTAATACGTCTTGAAATTCCCTCGGCTTTGCGTATTGTTGAATGTTGGCTTCATCCGATCCCCTTGAACTAGACGGGCAGCTTCATGGCAGGCGTGAAGGACGTCAGCGCGCTGGCACCGGTTAGCGCGATGAACAGTCTTGCGCCCCTCGGCGTCGAAGACGGAAACGGCGGCACTATAGGGTGATGATAAACATTGCGCTGAGCAGGCCGCTGGTCGAACGCACCCATCACCCATTGGGATCTCGATCATCCCCTCCTCAGGCGGCTGCCCGCTGACCCGATTACCTGCGTATCCACGAGCTCCTTTTGCTCGCTGCCCCGTGCTCTGCCGGGCCTTGTACTCCCGCTTCTCCTTCTCGCGCCGCTCATGAAATCTCTGCTGGCGGAGCCGCTGCCGCTGCTGACGGCGAGTGGAGTGAGGGGGATCCCGGGCAGCAGTCGATCCCAAATGCGGAGCGTCAAGCGCGCCATCGCCAGCGGTGTCAGAGTCCGTGAAATCGTCCGAAGTGTTGGTGTGCGCATGCGGGGCATCACATGTGTGGGCGGCAGCTGGGTCCTCGTTGATGCTAATGGTGGCAGGAGAATGTGACAGAGAATCATAGTCGGGGGGGAGACCAGCGAGTCGAGCGGAGCGGCGGATTACAGGAGCGTAGCCTTCTTCAGTATGATCCCCATCCTCGGCGAAGGTGATGAGGGAGTGATTGCCATGCGCTTGCAACCACATCGAGCTGTGAGAGGAAAACATTGTCATTTTGGGATGATGGCTCACCGGCATTGGCAGCCCCTTATATCCCATTTCCGCATGCTGGCTCGGCTCCGGTGTGTCGGGCCATAGAAGTCCGCATATACCAGTCAGCACAATGGCTGGATGGTAATGAGTGCAGAATGCGGGGCGATCTTATTGTCCATTGACGTTGACATGTGGCTGTGAATGTCATTGTCTGGCATGACAGCTCATATCCCGCTCTTTACTATGCCACGTCGTACTTCTAATATCATTGTCTATCGCAAGTCCGCGACCGTATATGTACCGCTCCTTATGCTACGCCGCGTCGTATTTCCGCCGCCCGTTCTTGTCTCTCCCCTCTGCTTCACCCGCGCCTCGTGCACATGCTGCCACTGTCTCTGTACCCTCGAGTGGCGACCAAGGCCCGGCCTGCGGGTTTTCGCCAGAGCGCACCCAAACCCTTCACCCACCGCCCAGTCTGCGCCCTCTGCGTCACCGCATTGCCACCGTGTTTTGCAAGCTCGCAATCGACGCTGCAGACGCGTGGGATCAGCCAGCGCTACAGCCACCATCTTTTTGTGAGTTCGCGATCGATGGTGGCTGCAGCGCGGTGATCGGACCGGCCGCCACCTTTTGAAATTGCCTGCTCCCGGATGTTTTGTGGGCTCGAGATCCGCAGGCCCCAGGCAACTTCCCGGGCCCACCAGCCACTAGCCTCTTCCTACGATGGAGCGTGGTGAAGGGCTCGGAAACCGGCACAGTCCCTACCCCCTGCGCATTCGAAAGAGGTCCGCCCGCGATCAGACCGAACACTCTCGCAAAGGTGGGGCTCTATTCCTGCACCCCGAGCTGCCCCTCACCCTGTTCCAGCGCGCCTTTTTGACCTCCTTGGTAACGCGCCGCAGATGCTGAGTCAGCTCGAGTGGCATGAGATTGGTGAGCAGGTGCGCCAGCCCCAATTCTCTTCTGACCCAGTTTTCAGTCGAGATCGTCGCCCAGGCCGTGGTGCCCACCCTCCCTGCCGCGGGTTGCTCTCCGCAGGGCGCCCCCAGCGCTTCCGTGAGCCCCGCCATCTATCCGTCCCCAGCCGCCAGATCGAGCACCCAAATCGCCGCGCCGTTCCCGCCCTCCACCCCCAACCTTCCCAGCGCCACGCCTGCTGTGGCCAGTGGGTTCCAGAGAGCGACGGCGAGGATGTCCGCGGGTGGGCGTTCCCCACGACGGCAGGAGCCCCCTGCCGATCCGTCTCCAGCTGCGAGACTGAGCGCCCGAAGCGCCGCACCAGTCCTGCCGTCTGCCCCCCACATTCCCAGCGCCCTGCCCGCTGCGACCGGTACCCCGCCTGTTGCGACCGGTAGACGCCAGCGAACAACGGCGAGGATGTCTACGGGCGGACGTCCCCCACGACGACAGGAGCCCTCCGTCGCTCCCTCCCTAGCCGCGGCATCGAGTGCCCGAAGCGCCGCACCAGTCCTGCTCTCTGCCCCCCACATTCCCAGCGCCCTGCCCGCTGCGACCGGTGCCCCGCCTGCTGCGACCGGTAGACGCCAGCGAACGACGGCAAGGATGTCTACGGGCGGGCGTCCCCCACGACGACAGGAGCCCCCCGTCGATCCCTCGCTAGCCGCGCCATCGAGTGCCCGAAGCGCCGCACCAGTCCTGCTCTCTGCCCCCCGAATTCCCAGCGCCCTGCCCGCTGCGACCGGTACCCCGCCTGTTGCGACCGGTAGACGCCAGCGAACAACGGCGAGGATGTCTACGGGCGGGCGTCCCCCACGACGACAGGAGCCCCCCGTCGATCCCTCGCTAGCCGCGCCATCGAGTGCCCGAACTGCTGCCTCATCCTCTGCCCCCAATCCTCCCGGTACCCCGTCTGCTGAGACCGGCGCACTTCCTCAGCGCCAAAGAGCAACGGTGAGGCCTGCCGGTCCTTTGCTCCGGTGTAGGAACCTTCGCTCTACAACACGGTTTCAAAGTGAATAAAGAAAATAACTCCTAGGGTAGTTTTTTTTAGTTTCAAAAATAGATTTTTCTTTCAACCCTGGCGCGTAGATTCTGTAATTGCCCACAGGAAAGACCTCTGCGCTGGAGCCCGAATCTCAAACATGTTGGTGATCTGCAGGCTCATCTTCCATCGCGCGTGAATTCAGTCCAGAGATCAAGCACCCGTGATCGCGATCCATTGAGCACATGATCGTGCCTATTTACCGCGATGCGCGTGCTTGCTCTGGCCACTCATGTCCCGTCGTACCAAGGCCACCTTCTCCACACACATCTTCGACTCTGACGATGAGCTTGACACTGTGTCCCTTGCCCGATCCTACCAGCCAGCGGCTTCGATGATGCGACACGACACGACCATTTCTGGGTCCAGCCTCTTCCGCAAGACCACGTTCCTCCAGAGCTCAGCTTCACCACGGAAACGACAGCGAGCAGCGGACTGGGGGGACAGCCTGTTGCATGATGATCCACCGCTCATACCTCTGCCTGAGCTTTTCAACGAGGGGGGGAACGACCTGGGGGCAGAATTTGAATTCGATGAGGGGCATCCTCCGGACAAGCACCCTCGACGTCCACGAGATACGGTGCGAGCAACAATTGATCTGCTCACCTTGCATGAGCTCATCTCGGAAGCAGGATCGCCCCCTGAGGATTTGGCTTGAGGAGGAGATGCCCACGTTTGTGGATGAGTTGTTGCGGTCAGCTGGGCGAGGGGACAACACAGGCAGCGGTTTCACACCGTGCAATGCCTGCAAGAAGTCTGATGGGACACACCGCTGTGAGCAATGCTTTATGGGCTCATTGTTCTGCTCGTCGTGCCTGGTGTCTCGCCATCGGGAGCATCCGCTACACCACATTGAGGTACGATGATCATGCCTGCAGATTTCAGCCACAGGGTACTGACGCAGAGAGCACAGGCTTGGGATGGCATGTGCTTCGAACGAACCTCGCTGGCTAGCCTTGGGTTACGGATCCAGATCGGTCACGCCGGCGCTGACAGATGTGCTGCGCCTCGCCTAGATAAGACCACCACCTTCTGCATTGTGCATTCAAACGGCATTCACGAAGTCAATCTAGACTACTGTGAATGTGCCGGTGCACCCATGCACTCTGTCCAGCTTCTCCGCTCCAAGCTATACCCCGCAACAACACTTCGTCCCGCTAGCGCTGCAACGTTTGAAGTCCTGCGAGGCTACCAACTGTTATCATTTGAAACCAAGTGCTCTGCCTACGAATTCTACAATGCACTGGCCCGGATGACGAACAACAGCGGCAGTTTTCAGCCCCGGGTATGTGATCCAGATGTCATGACCCTCAATCAATAATCTGACTCAAAACCTAGGACCGCTACAGTCAGTTCCTTCGAATGACACGGGAATGGGCCCATATTCAAATGCTCAAGCGTTTCGGGCGGGCTCATGAAACAGCCGGCTGCCGAAACATTCCAGCTGGCTCGTGCGCGGTCCTGTGTCCAGCCTGTCCACAGCCAGGGAAGAACCTTCCACAAGATGGGTCATGGCGAGCTGCTCCTCCCCATCTCCGTTTCCTTTATGCGCTGTTCTTGGCAATAGACGCGAACTTCCGCATGAAGCGCAAGGCAGTGTCTTCGGAAGAGGTAGATCCCGATCTGAATCAAGGGTGCGCCTTCTACAGCCAAATTGATGAGTATATGGAGCACGTCCGAGCCCACTGGGATACAGAGCAGGAGGTGCGTTGCTCACATAGCCATTCTGCACTGCTGATGTCTCTCAGTAGAAGAGTAGATGTGTGTCCCATGATGCTGTCAATGAGCCAAATCGCGAGGCTCGAGGAACAGCATCCTCTGGAATAGGGACGGTAGACTGCGCTCGCCATAACATGAAGCGTCCCAATGGTGTTGTAGACCTGCAGAAAGGAGAGAGGTGAGCGTTACTTTAGAGCACTTGTGCGTTACTCATTCTTGCAAAAGATACATCAACATGGACTATGCCCTGTGGAAGAGCTTGGATGGCTATGATGAGCTAGTCCAGCTTGTGGTTTCGTACGATATTGTGTGTCAGTGGAGCCTCAACATCTGGGAGCGATTGAAACGATACAAGCCATGCCTGCAGGAGCGAGCCAGAAGCGGGGAGCGGTTCTTTCTGTGGCTGATCCCCAAGTTCCATCTGCCGGCCCATATCGAAGCGTGCAACGTCCTGTATTCGTTTGACCTGACACCGTTTGTTGGCCGAACAGACGGTGAAGCACCGGAGCGTGGCTGGTCAAACACAAATCCGTTGGCAGCAAGCACTCGTGAGATGGGTCCAGGATCGCGCCGAGATCACATTGACAACCATTTCAACGACTGGAACCACAAGAAGGTGCTGGGGATGGGGCAGCTGCTCCTGAAACACATGCAGGACGCTATACCCCAGATGGTGAATCGGAGCATTGAGCTGCGCGACATAGAGGAGTCGCTTCCGCAGGACACACTGGCATCCTGGGTCACACAGATGGAGAGATGGGAGAAGGATGCATCAGAGCCAAATCCGTTTGCTGTTGGAGAGAAGCATGCGTCGCTTCAGGCAGTTCGGGGTCGAATTGCAGCGGAGACGCAGGCGATACTCGCTGGCGATGACAGTGATGAGGTCCGTGGGGATCTACACGTGGCAGAGATGATTGCAATGGGAATGCAGCTAGGAGAGCAGCAGAGAGCACTTGCCAGCGACGTAAAGGCCCTCGGGATCCACGCCACCGCACGACAGAAGACATTGATCCAGGAACGGGGCAATAAGCTTTGGCGGAAGATAGCCAGCTGGTTTGCGACACAGGCTACTTTTATCCCTGAGGTCACAGCTATTCGGGAGGCAGACGCCGACAAGCTTGCTGCTGCTAGCAGAATGGATCCTCTCCCACCAGCTCCGGCATTCACTGCCAGGCTGTGGCTACCTTCAGAATTAGTGGGTGAATCTCGGTGCACGGTCAAGCATGCATTTGCACGCTACGAATTTGACATGCGAGAGGCAAGAGCCCATGAGTGCCTGGACGAACTACGTCGCCTGTTGCTTGTGCAGAAGCATCACTACCAAGCGAAGGATCGCCACGCATTTGGCGTCGCAGCCAACACCCGTGCAAAGGAGTCCCTTGACAACATCCAGCGGCGCATCAAACGGACTGCAGAAGAATACCGGGCAGCAAGAGCGGCTCTGGTTGCATTGGCTCGTCTGTTGGGTGATGCTGCATGGTCAAGGATCCTGCGGCCGCTGGAAGAGAAGGACATCCGTGGAATGCCGCAGGCGCTTTTCGCTGATCCCCAGCGCAAGCAGAAGAAGAAACGTACGCTGCAGACCGTGGAGGAGAGGGAGGCAGAGACTTTAGCCAAAGAGATGTCATGGATCTGGCGAACCAGCCTGAAGCCAGTGGCTGAGGTAGCATCCTCCTTGCAGAACCCTGAGACCGACAGCACAAGTTTGTCCCCTGCCGTAGCCGAACATGAAGCACAGCTGCTCACTGCCGGGCTTCGTGTTGAATGGGCTAAGGCTAGGGCTCGGGCAGGAAGGTGGCGGGAGGAGGTTGATCTTCTTGAAGAAGAGATGCGACGTGTGCTAGCGTTTGAGGAGTGGAGGGCAGCATGGTGGAGAGAACGGAGGCTTGGCCGTGAGGCCGAGGAGCTGGGCCCAGCAATGGACGAAGCATTGCACGCGTATGCTGAAAAGCAGGCACGCTTCCATGACCGGCGAGCAGGGAAACTGCGTCACATGTGGAAATCAGTGCCCGGCTCAATCGAGACAGGCCGAAAAGGTGTGGTGAGCACGGTTGAGGCCTCAGATGCTGAAGAGGATCTGGCCATAGACTTGGACGTAGATAGATGACCGCCTTTAGATTGTAGTATACGCATACATTTCAGATTATTTCTACATTTGAATTATTTGGTGCTCATCGCGGAAGACAACGCCAAGAGATTCTGATGAGCGCTGATGACAGCGACGACAGATGTTGTTGCAATGACGGATGATGAATTGACGGTGTGATTGCTGTGATCAAAGTGATGGAATGACACGGTGAATGATGAGACATCATGCATCAAAATGTGTGCCTGAGCTCACCGTGGACGACAATGAGGAATGACGTGGCACAGCGATCAAGGCGTGTGATCAATACTGACCAAACACACCCAACATATGAGCGGTGGGGAAGGGGGTCTGGCTGCCACGGGCAGGGAATACGGCTAGGGCTTGCAGGCCTGCTCTAAGCTAGAGGGTTTACTGAAGAATGGGCATGCTTCTAATGACCGGTTGTTCTATAGAATAGGGCCACTATCTAGTGATACTGATATCTCGAATGGTCAGTCTAAGTATGTGTTAATGAGACTGGTAGAGAGCAAGTAAGACCAATATATTAAGTATACAGAACAGGAATATAACCACAACATACCTCACCCCAGGGAGCTCCAATTCATTACATAAAAGTGCTTCCAGGCCCCCTCCGGAGGCCATCACTGGAGGCGCCTTCCTATTTGGTACCTAGCAGGCCATTTGTCCACTGCATGCAGGGTGCACTGGACATGGCTTTTGGTTGTTTTGATGTACTCTGGCAGTTATTATTTAGGCCTAGACAGTGTCTTAGCTCACAAAACCCTGTATATATTGCTTCTGGTTGATGCATCATCACTGCATAAAATCCTTGGTTTGTGCACCAGAGCACTCCACCTGTGTACAGAGAGGTAAGCTCGTGTATTTGAACAATTTAATACACAAGTAGCTCGTGTACAGGCACCATAATGTAATTTAGCAGAAAAAGCAGTCTGCAGCCTCCATGGCCTCCAAGAACAGTGAAAATAGATGGAAATGAGGCCAGACCATCTCAGATAATGCTGAAACATCTCTACAGACTCTCAGAGTTGGTTTGGCAGACACTTGAGCTTGAAAAACACATACTGGAGCACCTAACATGACATACCTCCACTGCCTCCAGGGTGCAAGACAAAGAGCAGTATTTTGATTCAGCTGCGCATGGATTTATTTTGCCTGCTCTCCAACCCCAACATTTTTGGATGCTCAATCCGGCCTTCAGTTCTGTGTGAGAGACTCTCTGTGGGGCTGCAGATAAATGTTAGCAGGAAGCACAGCTGGCCTCCAAAGCCTCCCAGTTTTACAACTGTAGGCCTTTGTTGTCAGGGGAGACGTGTCAGCAGGATGAGGTCATCGGTATTGATCCGGCGGTGTTCCGGCGGTGATCCGAGGGTTATCAGTCAGCGGTGTCATGCTCCTTACGTCATCTACTTGTATATAGATAGTTGCTGGGGATCTCTGATCCCCAGTCTTGTTATCGACTTGGCCCCTGGGCTCCACTCCCCTTACATTTGTTTGAATCTATTGCTTTCTAGTGTGTCTAAAACTTGAAAGGAAGCCTTAAAAATGCAAGGCTTCACTCCGATTTTATGCTGGCAACAGTGAATGAAAAGTAGCAGAGGTGGCCTCCATTGCCTCCAGGCCTCTAGCACCTCTCAATCGCACTTCAGTTTCACAATTTGATAAAGTACTGCTCTCTTAATCAAGGGTAGTTGAATCTCTGTTCCCCATGTTGATCAAATATCATCTGTCAAGATGGATGTCGTGATACATATCTATGACTCCATCACGTGTCATCTAGAGTCATATCGACTCGTCCCAAATAGACACAAACGGCCCCCTGTATCATATATAAGGAGGGCTCTATTACCCTATAATCCAAGTCTCTTGACTACTCCCGCATAGTGCCCACACTAAGCTCTCACTCACATAGGTGAGCTGCTAGACGCTCTCCCCAGTGCTCAACAGGTTAAGGGCCCCGAGAGCTATGTCTGCGCCTCAATGGCTGCGACATTCATTGTATGCGCCGTCACTGGCTGCAACGATGAGCAGCGTCTTTAGCCTATCTGTATTTCACTTCAGCTGCTGCACAGCGCTGGTGAAACCATGCCGGATCGCGATTACATCGCTTGATCCAGATGCATCGATCTCTCAAGGAGATTATGATCTATGAGAATCTGATCATCTTGATCTTTGATTTTATCTATCAGATTAGATTGATGCTGATTAACTCACACAGATCAATATGTCGTCCAACTCCAACAACATCTTCAATGCTGTCTCCACCTTTGATGGAAAGCACTGGCTCGTATGGTCCGGAACTATGGAGTCCTACCTGGAACATCAGGGGATCTCATATGTGCTGACCGAAACGGCGCCGACCGAAGTCAAAGCTACCGATGGCTCTGTGACCAACGCATTGGAGATCAAGCAATGGAAGCATGATGATCTCAGGGCAAAGGGCAGCATTAAGTTGCGCCTGACTGAGGGAGTCATTGCCAACATTCCAACCGCCAACATAGTGTCAGCTGCCAAGATCTGGGAGCACCTGAAGACCCAATACGGTGGTGCTCAGTGCGCCGACCTATATGCGTACTTCCAAACCGCGTTGAACGCCAAGTACAACGTGGGGTTGCACCCGGATCCACAGCTGCTGGTGATCACTACGGCGTTCGCTCGCCTGGAGAATGAGTCTTTGAGCATCCCTGAGTTCCTCAGAGCGATGATCATTCTCAACATAGCCCGGATTCCCTCCGTCACAGAGACTGTTCTCCAGACCTATGAAAAGGACGAGATCAAAGTCTCGGCGGTTCGTGACGCTCTCTTGACGCATTTCGCTCAGAAGCAGTCTCAAAGCCAGAATCATGTGGCCAAGTTCAATACCAAGCGCAAGCACGATGACCCTTCGTTCACCAATCAGCAACAGGGCTCTGGCTCTGCACCCGATAAGGGTGATAAGGCTGATGGAAAGAAGAAGAACCGTCGAGGCAAGCGCAGTGGGAAGAACAAGGACAACAAGGGCAAGGGAAAGGCTGATCACAGTCATGTCCATGGAGTCTCCGAGATCACTGGCTCCCTCACTATTGGTTCGATCGCCTCGCTCACTCCGTCTATCCCTGCGCCGACGATCTCGCATGTCACGTACATCTCTCGCGATGGACCCAAAATCCGCGCGGTTCAAGAGAAGTCTCCCGTTAACAACAATGGGATTATTGACACCGAGTTTCAGAAGCCTACTCGTAAGGTCTTCGAGCTGGCCAAAAAGATGGATGTGACGGTGACCGCAGAACGCTTCCGGACTCTCGACAAGATCGTCAATGAGAAAGGAATGCTCCGCGAGGACGCAATCATGCGTTCTCCATCTTCGGTTGCTTCCGGCTCGAATCACACGCTGGATGATGGTCCTCCTGCCAAACGCAGTCGTATCGAGGAGATCCCCGACGTCGAGATGGCCACCGGCCAACAGAACGATCTTGATCTTCTGTTTGGAGATAGCAAGTTCGCCCAGGCTGAACCGGTCAATTGGGATGAAGTCGTCGACTTCAACACCCTTCTGGAGGAGATGGACGCTCCTTCCGCCGAAAGGCAAGTACCCTGCCTTCTTGGGCACATGCACAATTCTGATTGTTGCTCACAGCCAGAGCGCGTAATCACCGCCGCCCCGGGTTCTGTACTTAATTTGTTGATGATTCGTTCGCATGATTTTTGTACCAATCTATTCTGTGTGCACTCCGATTTTGCTGCCTGCTCTAAGTGTAAGGGGAAACATCATCATCATGAATTAGGGCCTCTATGGCTTCTTGATTCAGGTGCATCTCTCCATGTGACATCGGAGATTAGTGATCTGGTCGGATATGAGAAGCTCTCAGATCCTATTGTTGCTCAGACCGCTGATAAGAACACACGTGTTGCCCTTATTGGTCGAGGAACAGCCTTCATCGATCATTACGTCACAAGGCATGGAGAAAAGACAATGGTGACTTCTCAGATATATCCAGTGTACCTAGTGCCAGGATTACATGGTCGTCTCATGTCTTTGGGCTCCTTACTCAAAGGAGGATCTCGCGTTCGTGGAGACGAATCGCGGATCAGCTTACATCGAGGGAAGTCCCCACTCTCGATCATGGAGTTTAGAACTCTAGGGAAGGACATTGCATTGTACTTCCTGATGTCAAAGCCTAGTACGGCTGAGACAGTGCGATCCATGTCCACTGTTTACAAGGTGGATTATGAGATCATGCACCGGCGATTTGCACATCCGTCGAAAGACGTTTTACGTCAGGCAAAGAAGAATACCAAGGGCTTTCCAGAAGACCTAGTATTTCCCGAGGAAACCCGACCGTGTAAAGGATGCGCGCAAGGGAAAATGCACCAACGTGCCTTCCCGCCTTCCGAAAAACGAGCGGAGAATCCGTTTGATTTGATCCACTCGGATCTCAAACAATTTCCCACGGTGTCTTATCACAAGTACCGCTACTTCATGAGCTTCTTCGACGAAGCACTCTCCTATGGCTGGACAGTATGCCTTGCGCAGAAATCCGATGCCAAGCAGGCTATGCGCAATTTCATTGCGATGGTCAAGAACCAGTTCAATGTCACCATCAAAAAGTGGCATATTGACAATGGGGGAGAATTCATGGGGATGGGAATGGAAGAATTCCTCGCGGAACAAGGAATTCTAGTGGAGAAGGGTGCTCCATATGCTCACCAGCAGAATGGGCATGCCGAGCGCTTCAATCGTACGATCATGGATAAGGCAGAAGCCATGCGCTTCACTGCCTGTCTTCCTAATTCTTATTGGGAATTCGCTATTAAACATGCGACACGGATCTACAATTTGACACCTATCAGGCGTCTAAAATGGAAAACTCCATTTGAAGCTCTTCACAAGGAAAAACCGGATGTTTCCGAACTCCGAGTCTTTGGTTGCGCTGCATATGTCTTTATCCCTGATGAGAAGCGCGCCAACAAGTTATCGCCCAAATCGGAGCTGATGACCTACTTGGGCATTCCTGATGGTG